TTTTTTCATTTTGCTTATGTGGTGCTGAGGAATCGAACCCAGGGCCTCAGGCATGCAAGGCAAGCGCTCTACCACTGAGCCACCTTCCCAGCCCCTACAGGGTCATCATACTGGTATCTTTTTACAGATTTGTCAACGTAGGCTTCCTGAGTAACTTAGCTGAGTATCATAAGAAATATCTCACCTATCTACTTGTAAGTCTCCATTGCAAATCGACAACTTCCCAATACATGGCATAGAAAAGTCCATGAGACTCTAACCTCCAATTAACCACCAGAAAGTAGCACTGTGGCTCAAATTGTAGAGCACTAGCCTTGAACCAAATTGCTTAGAGACAGCACTCAGGCCCAGAGTTCAAGCCCCATAACAGACAAAAACCAAAACCAAAAAACAGATTGTTGAAGACAAAGGGGACATGTTTTTTTCACACTCTGAAGCTAAATCTAAAATACAAACGTGCGCGATAAGATATGCAGAGTTCAATGCATTTATACACAAACTGACTAAGAGAGGAAGTGTCCAAAGATGTAATTCCTCTGAATAACTAATTTCTTATCAAAATAAATACCCAAATGGAGGGACAAAGGGTGAACAAATGTAGTAGTGGTATTTACTAGACACTATGTTGAAAATGAACTATACCACTTGTAGGTGGAAATAGGAGAGAAAAGAAGGGCTGGGAAGGTGACTTAGTGGTAGAGTGCTTGCCTTGCATGCATGAGGCCCTGAGTTCCATTCCTCAGCACCACATAAGCAGAAAAAAGCTGGAAGTGGCACTGTGGCTCAAGTGGCAGAGCACTAGCCTTGAGCTGAAGAGCTGAGGGACAGCACCCACCCCACGACCACCACCACCAACAAAAAAAGAGCAGAAGAAGAGAACAAAGGAAGGGGTGACATTGTAAAAACAAAATGTATTCACTACCTGACTTGTCACCCCTCACCCCCTGTATATCACTTTTAATAAAACAATAAAACAATAAATAAATGTCAGGAAGTAGAAACATATTTTGGTGGGGGAGGACAAAGAGAGAGGGCACAGAAAGGGAGGGAGGAAGTATGAACAAATGAAGTCATTATATTCAATGTACATTATACAAAAAATGAACTATGTAACTTGAGGGAGGGATGAGAGGGGTAAAATGGGGAGAATGAACTAAGATGTGACTGATTAAAATGCATTGTGAAGCTGTGCTCCAGTGGCTCACATCTGTAATCCTAGCTACTCAAGAGGCTGAGATCTGAAGACTGAAGTTCAAAGCCAACCTGGGCAAGAAAGTCCATGAGACATTTATCCCCAATTAATTACCTAAAAGACTCAAGTGGAGCTGGGACTAAAGTGGTAGAGCACTAGCCTTGAGTTCAGGCCCCATAATCTGTACAATTACTTAATAATAAAATTGTTAAAAAAAGTAGATGGTTTATAACTATGAAAATAAGGAAACCTGTTGAAAATGCATGTAAATGTAACAATGAAACACCTCTATAATTAATGTAGCCTAACTAAAATGCTAAAAATAAGTAACAGAGAGAGTATGGTAACACTGTATGATTAAACCTTAGTAGAAATAATATATAAAAATTTATGACAAACCGTTCTATTTCCTTTTCTTGTATGACTTGTTCAGGAGTTTTTTCTTCATCTACAAGTAAACAATTTTTTGAAATAACATTTTAGATCAGTACTGTCTAATACAAATATGTCAGCCACAAATGCAAAGATATAATTTTAAATGTCGATTTCCACATTACAAAAATACAAAAGCAAGTGAAATTAATCTACTTACTTACTTAGCACCTATCCTGGAGCTTGAGCTCAAGAGCCTTCCTTGGTCCTGTCACTAAGCTTCTTTTGCTCAAACCCATCACTACCATTTGAGACACAGCTCCACTTCTAGCTTATTTTTTTGTAGTTTAGTAGAGATAAGAACCTCACAGACTTCTGCCAGGACTGGCTTTGAATCCTGATCCTCAAGTCTCTGCCTCCTGAACAGCTAGGATTACAGGTGTGAGCCACTGGTGCTCAATTGTAATTTTAGATAATTTATCAGTGTTCCTCCCACCCCCCTTTTTTTTCCCCCCATACGAGGACTTAAACTGCACTCCCAATTGGCTTATTTACTCATGCCTGAGCTCTGTAACTTGAGACATCCCTGCAACCATAATAATTGCTTTCTTTGGTCTGGGTTAAATATGCCCCTCTTTTAGATGTAGAAATTCTTAACCAATCCAATTTTTGTTGTTGTTTTGGTGCCATTTCTGGGGATTGAACTTACGGCCTATGAGTTGTCCCTGAACTTTTATGCTCAAGGCTAGCACTCTACCACTTTGAACTATAACTCCATTCCATTTTTAGCTTTTTAGTGGTTAATTGGAGACTGGCACTAGTGGCTCACATCTGTAATCTTAGCTACTCAGGAGACTGAGATGTGAGGATGATGATTCAAAGCCAGTCCAGGCAGGAAAATCCATGAGACTCTGCAATAAACTATTCAGAAAAAGCAAAAGTGGTACTGTAACTCAAGTGGTAGAGCACTAGCCTTGAGCATAAGGAGGTTCAGGGACAGTGTCCAGGCCCTGAGTTCAAGCCTCAGAACCAGAAAAGAAAAAAAAAAAACTCACAGATTTTCCTGCCCCCACTGGCTTTAAACTGTGATTCTCAGATCTCACCCTCCTGAGTAGTTAGGATTACAGGCATAAGTCACTGGCCCCTGGCTCTAATCCAATTTATCAGATATTATAATACCTTAAAAAAACCAAGCTGGGCATGGGTAGCTCATGCCTGCAATCCTAGCTACTCAGGAGGCTGAGATCTGAGGATCACAGTTCAAAGCCTAGGCAGGAAAGTCCATGAGACTCTTACCTCCAATTAACCACCAGAAAAATGGGACGTGGTGCTGTGGTAAAGAACTCCCTTTGAACTGAAGGACTCAAGGACAGTGCCCAGGCCCAGAGTTCAAGCCTCATGACCACCCCCCCACCCCTGCAAAATAAAAAACCCAAAACAAAAAACAATCCAACAACTATTATGCTGGGAGCAGGGCTCAGGTACAGTGTTCGGTAGAAAGTGGAAGGCTCAAGTTTGGGATAATGGCAGAGTAACCACAGGGAAACACCCTAGCTGTCTGACCCAACTGAGACTTAAGGTCCCCGAATGCAGGTCACCTCGAGAGTCATATCAATCAAACTATAGTGCAAAACCCTAAGACCAAATCTCAGTAAAACTTATGTGTGTATGTACACGTGTGTGCATTGATATCTGGTTATTTGCTTATTTTGCTATATTTAGTTATACAAAAATTGTTTACAATTTTTTTGTTGTTGTTGGTCGTGTGGCCTTAAATCTGGGCCTGGGCGCTGTCCCTCAGCTCTTCAGCTCAAGGCTAGTGCTCCGCCACTTGTGCCACAGCGCCATTTTCAGCTTTTTCTGCTTATGTGGTGCTAAGGAATCGAACCCAGGGCCTCATGCATGCAAGGCCAGCACTCTACCACTGAGCCACATTCCTAGCCCCTGTTTACAATTTTTTGTAAAATTGATATTTTCTCTAGAATACTGTTCATCATTAAATTTGCAAAATCTTATTTAAAAATGAAACTACTTACTTGCATCAAGCATGGACTTATACTCTAAAAGTTGTTGCTTTGTCTGTGCTCTCAGCCTGAAAACAGATAAAAGAGAACAGAAAGTTACAGGTTTATGGGCAGGTTTTACTATTTAATTGCTGTTTTCTTTTGTGATTTTTCTTCCCTAAAATAAAATGCTTTTGACCCTAGCCTTTCAACACTTACAAAGCAGTCAAAATGGTTTGGGAATAGAATCAGGATGTGGCCACAGCTGTGGTGTAGTGGGAAGACTGGGTGGCAATGGCGGGAGCCCTTGAACAACTGTGCTTTCAATATGTTGTCCTATTACATCCCCAGAGCCACCTGACAGCTTTAGATATGTACAGCCTGAGGATGTGAGAGGTTTGGGGCTTTACACCCTATGGAATACCAAACATCAATCTGTGTTTGATAAGTTCATATGATTAAAAATAAAAACAAAGGGGCTGGGAAGGTGGCTCAGTGGTAGAGCGCTTGCCTTGCATGCTCCAGGCCCTGGGTTCGATTCCTCAGCACCACATAAGCAAAAAGAAAAAAGCCGGAAGTGGCGCTGTGGCTCAAGTGGTAGAGCACTAGCCTTGAGCTGAAGAGCGGAGGGTCAGCGCCCGGGCCCGGAGTTCAGGCCCGGTGGCCAGGCAGGGCCCCTGCTCCCGGCAGCACGGCCACAGCGGCCGCCGCGGCTCGGGGCCCGCGGGCCGGCACCGCGCTCACTAACCACCCCCGGCGGCTCACCTAACCCCCGGGCAGCTCGGCCACAGGCGACGCGGTTACCCATGAAGCGACCGAGGCTGACCCTGAACCCGGGGCCGGAGGGAAAAGGCAGGAGCCATTGTCCCGCGGGCCGCTGGGTCAGGGTCGCGGCGGCGGCGGAGGGGCCGACCTGAGCAGCAGGGAAATGCGGTTCTCGCCGCCGGCTTCCTGGGGACCGGGGAGCTGGGTCGACACGCTGGTCCCGCTCGCCTCCCCGAGGTCCGCGGGCTTGGCGGCGGCCACGGCCGGCTCCTCGAGCGGCTGCTGCTCCATCGCCGGCCGGCGGGAACAGACGACCGCACGCGAAGACAGTCTCTGAAGACCGACGGAGCCGTTACCCCGCCGGCAGCTATAACGGCCCAAAACACCCGTTGGCCACGCCCCTCCCCGCCCCTTCCTGCCGAGGCCACACCCCTTCCGCGCTCCCGCGTCCTCTCTAGCCCCGCCCCCTGCCTCCGGTTGCCATAGTGACGGCTCTGCCTCCTTTCCTGCTCAAGCTGGAAAGCCCCGTTTTGCACTTCCAGTGAAAAAAGTTCAGAGAGCTAAGGTGTTGCTCAGGGGTAGAGCACCTGCTTCACATGGCCAGCGTCCCTGGCTGGATCCCCAGACCCTGCGCACGCTTGAAGAACTTCAGTTTAACTCCATCTGTATCCTGGGACACAGTTTGCAAGAAGACAAATGACTGGCCTGAACCCTCATTCGGCCTCGGTGCTTGGTCCTGGGAGCACGGACGGCGGTTACTGACCCACCTGGGTCCTCCGTGGCCACGAAAGGTGGGTATGCCCGACGAAGTGCAAAGGACACACATTGCAGTGTTGCGTACAAGACTTGTATTCATGCAGTGTGGGGGAATCGAACCCAGGGACTCGGGCGTGCCACTGAACTGCACCCCCAATCACTCGGGTAGTTTTGTTTGGAACCCACGAAGGCAGTACTCCTCTTTTAGTGGAGAAACCAGTGTGTCAGATTTAGGGCTCCTCGAGGTTTGCAGTCGTGAGGCCTTTGAGGCAATCTTGAATCCCACCTCCGCTTCCTTTGAATTCCTTGAATTGGTACTTTGCACAGCTCTACTCTGAGAATCGGTGTTCCCTAGTGTCTGCTTTGTGACTCTGCAGGTTATAATTGAAACTTGAAGTAGGATTTGGGGGTAGACCTGGTCATAACAATGCCAGATTTTGGTTTTTCTCATTGCAGGCAGACATAGAAAGGGAAACAGCCCTTGCCCTAGCAGCTTGGAACTGAACAAGGTAGCTGAAAATTCCTTTCCTCCAGTTAGATAGGCAGTTTGTATCAAAGCAATATAGATCCTATTAAAAAGTTAAAATTTGGGCTGGGAAGGTGGCTCAGTGGTAGAACGCTTGCCTTGCATACATGAGGCCCTGGGTTCGATCCTCAGCACCACATAAGCAGAAAAAAAAAAGCTGGAAGTGGCGCTGTGACTCAAGTGGTAGAGTGCTAGCCTTGAGCTGAAGAGCTGAGGGACAGTGCCCAGGCCCGGAGTTCAGGCCCACAACTGGACCCAAAAAAAAAAAAAAAAAGTTAAAATTTGTCTGGAGCTGGTGGCTCACATCTGCTACTCAGGAGGCTGAAGTCTGAGAATTGCGGTTCAAAGCCAGCCCAGTAAAGAAAATCTGTGAGACTCTTAACTACCAGAGCCATAAATGGTATTGTGGCTCAAAGGGGTAGAGGGCTAACCTTGGGCACAAAAGCTAAAGGACAGCACCTAGGCCCTGAGATCAAGCCCAGGATTAGCAGCCCCAGGACTAGCGTGCGTGTGCGCACGTGTGCACACACATCACACACACACGTAAAAATCCAAAAAGAATGGATAAAATGTAAAGTTCACCACATGGAACTTTTTTTTTCTTAATCCCCATTAGTTTCATTTTTATAAATAAGAAATCCTATTAGTAGAGCCACTAAAGATCCAGACAGGTCTTCAAAAGGGAGGTCTCAGCCAAGGATCCTACTCCACGCAATCTGAGGGTTTCGGTTCAAAGACAGCCTGGGCAAGAAAGTCTGTGAGACTCTTATCTCCAATTAACCACCAGAAAACTAAAAGTGGTGCTATGGCTCAAGTGGTAGAGCACTAGTCTTGATCTGAAGAGCTGTGGGACAGCGCCCAGGCCCAGAGTTCAAGACCCACCACCAACAAAAACAAAACAAAAGCATGAGGCCCTAAGTTCAAGGCCCAGTTCCACCAAAAAAATTTTTTTTTGACATATAGACTATGTATCACTTCATGTATACCTTAAATGTTTAGGTTATCTACAATGTCTAACATGATGTTTTCTAAGTAGCTGATATAGTATCTTGTTTAGCGAATACTGACAAAAAGCATATGTACTCAGTTCCTAAGTACTGCTCTTTTATATTTTCAGTCAAAAGTTAAGTTGGTTGCATCCATGAATGTTGAATCTAGGGATGGGGAACTAGTGGATACAAAGGGCAAATTTAATTTGCACTTGGAAAATAAGCATTGTAGTTGGGAATGGTAGTGCATTCCTGAAATTCTAGCTATTCAAGAGACAGAGGCAAGCCAGAACTGGTGGCTCATGCCTGTAATCCTACGTACTTAGGAGGCTGAGATCTGAGGGTTGTGGTTCAAAACCAGCATGGACAGGAAAAGTCATGCCAGACTCTTAACTCCAATTAACCACCAGAAAACTGAAAGTGGCACTGTGCATCAAAGTGGTAAAAATCAGGGACAGTGCCTAGGTCCTGAGCCCCATTATGGAAAGCAGAGACAGATCAGCCCAGGGAAAAGTCAGACTCTATTTCAAAAACAGAATTCAAATGTAAGGGCTGGTGTGTGATTCAAGTAGCAGAGAATTTGATTTACCTAGAAAAAAATGCAAACAATTGCTGGGCATTGGTGGCTCACACCTGTAATACTAGCTATACAGAAAGAAGCCTGAGATCTGAGGATTGTAGTTCAAAGCCAGCCTGGGCAGGAAAGTCCTTTTTGTTGGTTGTGGGGCTTGAACTCAGGACCTGGGCACTGTCTGCTGTCCCTCATCTCTTTAGCTAAAGGCTAGTGCTCTACCAACCAACCACTTGAGCCACAGCTCCACTTCTGGTTTTCTGGTGGTTTATTGGAGAAAAGAGTTTAATGGCTGGGAATGTGGCTTAGTGGTAGAGTGCTTGCCTAGTATGCATGAAGCCCTGGGTTCCATTCCTCAGTACTACATACACAGAAAAAGCCAGAAGTGGGGCTGTGGCTCAAGTGGTAGAGTGCTAGCCTTGAGCAAAAGAAGCTCAAGGACAGTGCCCAGGCCCTGAGTCCCCAGGACTGGCAAAAGAAAAAAGGAAAAAAAAAAAGAGTTTCACGGACTTTCCTGCCAGGATTGCAATCCTCACATCTCAGGCTCCTAAGTAGCTAGGATTACAGGTGTGAGCCTGGCCTCCAAGAGACTATTAACCTCAAACCACCAGAAAATCCACCCCCAGGCTGAGTTCTAGGCCCAAGAATGACCAAAAAAAAAAGCAACCACCATAAAGACAAAAGTGGGAAATAATTTTATTCACATTTGACAGAAAGCATAATTCTATTCACATTTGACAGAAAGCATAAATCTGCCAATCAGTGTAAGTTTGTGAGGCAGTATAATGAATCCGAATGTATTCATGCAATGAGTGTGGTCAGAAAAAATATTTCTAGGTGAAGTTATACTTTACCTCGCCAAATCTAGAACTTAATAGTTAGGCACTTTCAAATTGGATTAAAGAGGGTTTCAATTATTAGTCTTATAATACCACATACCACACCTCAATATAGTTGACTGAAGTGCAAAAAATTAAGATAGAAATAGGTTCTTAAGGTCGAGAAGCAACAACAGAAAATAGCAGATTTAGTAATGGGTAAACTTAACTTTCTTCAAAGCAAAACACCCGCTTGAACTAGGCAGGCTCAGAAGTCTGTGGTGGGGGGGTGGGCAAGAAAGAATAGTCAATGGACCAAATGACAAACTGGGAAATCCTTTCACATTGATAAGACCAACCATTTATTTAACTTGGGGTAACATAGCATGTACAGGTGATAGTATAAATTAAAACAACAAACGAGATAGAATAGTTGTTGCTAGTTACATTCACAAAGATTTAAGACAGATTTAACAAAGATGCAGAGAAAAGCACTTGTGTACACTGCTGACAACACTGAGAAAGTCATGTGACTGAGTGAACTAACATTTTGGGAGATCTGTCACATCAAGAAAACAATTGTATAAAGTGATTTTTAACCAACATTGTTTAGGCAATGAAAAATGTATTCTGAATGTCAACAGGGCAATAGTTATGTACATTACACACAGTATATCCATAGTATGTGATGTATAAATAAACACAGAAAGGCCTACACATTGGAAGCAATATTGCTGTGTACTGAATGGACCCATTGAAAACTCTCCAGGGCAACTCATATATATGGATGTTTAGAGAGGGTAGGGGAGCTAGATGCATCTAATCTGTCAATATCCTTTAAACAGATGAGGTTCAAAAAGGTTGGGCAAATGGACTTTTTTGTTTTGAACATCTTGTTTTATTTTCCTAACCAATTAACAAAAACAAATACATAAAGTGAAAACTGGATTTTTAAAATGAAAAAGAAAAAGAAAGTTGATAGCTCAAGAAAGTGGTAAAAACAGAGGCAGAGCAGCAAGCACCTGAAGAAACAACACAAGGGAACTAGGGATGAAGATGGTGTGAGCTTTGACTGAAAAACAGAACTAGGTGAGAAGTTCTCTAAAATGACTTAGCTCACATGCAGTAATGTCCTATGAAGCTATCTGTCTTATGTATCTTTACCATATCAAAAGGAAAAGCCAGGTACATTAAAACATAAACATGTAAGTGACAATTATATACATCAGTTGGAGTCCCTGGTAAACTGAAAGCAGCTTAAAAACAAAAAAAATTAAAAAAAAAACCTCAAAAAAAAACCTTTTTAATATGACTTACAGTTTACCCCAGAATAGGAAGTAATGACATTTAGATGAATTAAGCTATTAAAAGCAAAAATGGCCACAACCTTCATTAAAAACCAAGTAAATGTAGTATAGTATGTACAAGTGGCACATGGTGCCAATTTTATTTGCAGCTATTATTATAGTACTCCATCTCAAATGTACAAGTTACACCTTTGTCACAGCCTTGGCTAAGTCTTGAACTAGTGCAGAATTCAGCTGTGGTAGAATGCTGATGTTAGCATGCCTAGATGTAGCATACTTGTTCTTGATAGTCTGAAAGAGAAAAGGCACAATAAATAAAAACACAGGATCAGTCACAAGATCCCATGGTGTACCAGAACACGGGAGCAGATGCCTGTGTTCTCAGCAACTCAGGAGTCTGAAGCAGGAGGATTCAAAGTGTGAGGCC